ATTTTTGGTAATAAATTTATGACGACCACTTTTTTTTTTTTTTTTTTTTAAATAAACCCCTCTACTTTTCTTTCAGGTTTCTGTCAGCTGAAGTTACCGTGAAGCACATGATAAGAACAGAAATACATTAAGCAAGACTATGAAGAAATCCTTTAAGAAAGGACCAAAGATTCCAGCTCTCAAATTTCAAGAAATCTCTCAGAATGTCTACAAATGACATAGTAAACGGAAATATAAAACATTTTCCATGTTCTGAATGTGGGAAATGTTTTAGCCGTTATTCAAAATTTGTTATCCACTTCAGGACTCACACGGGAGAAAAACCTTTTTCATGTTCTGAATGTGGGAAATGTTTTAATCAGCGCTCATATCTTATGAAACATCAGAGAATTCACAAAATAGATAAACCTTTCTATTGTTCTGAGTGTGGGAAAAGTTTTCCCTGTAATTCAGATCTTGTGAGACATCAGAAAACTCACACAGGAGAGAAACAGTTCTCATGCTCTGAATGTAGGAAATATTTTAGTCAACAGACGCATCTTGTTAAACATCAGCGAATTCACTCAGGAGAGAAACCTTTCTCATGTTCTGAATGTGGGAAATGTTTTGTTTGTAAAACACAACTAGTCATACATCAGAGAATTCACACAGGAGATAAATCTTTCTTCTGTTCTGAATGTGGGAAAAGTTTTGTTTGTAAATCAGAACTTCTTAGACATCAGAGATTTCACACAGGAGAGAAACCATTCTCATGTTCTGAATGTGAGAAATGTTTTCACAGTAAATTTGATCTTGTTAGACATCAGATAACTCACACAGGCGAGAAACCTTTCTCATGTACGGAATGTGAGAAATGTTTTAGTCGGCATTCGCTTCTTATTAGACATCAGAGAACTCACACAGGAGAGAAACCTTTTTCATGTTCTGAATGTGGGAAATGTTTTAACCGGCACTCCATCCTTGTGACACATCAGAGAACTCACACAGGAGAGAAACTGCTCTCATGCTCTGAATGTGGGAAATGTTTTAGTCGGCGTGCACATCTTCTTTTACATCAGAGAACTCACACAGGGGATAAACCTTTCTCATGTTCTGAATGTGGGAAATGTTTTAGCCAGCGCTCAGTTCTTACAAAGCATCAGGGAACTCACACAGGAGAGAAACCTTATTCATGTTCTGAATGTGGAAAATGTTTTCAAAGTAAATCGGATCTTGTTAGACATGAGAGAACTCACACAGGAGACAAACCTTTCTCATGTTCTAAATGTGGGAAATGTTTTAGCCAGCATTCACATCTTGTTGCACATCAGAGAACTCACACAGGAGAGAAACCTTACTTATGTTCTGAATGTGGAAAATCTTTTAGTCATCAAACTAATTTTATTGCACATCAAAGAACACACACAGGAGAGAAACCTTACTCATGTTCTGAATGTGGGAAATGTTTTATCCAGCGCTCAGATCTTACCAAACATCAGAGAACTCACAGGGCAGAGATACAGAGTGCCTCCCACTTTTTAAGGGACCAAAAGTAATGGGACAGATTAGCAGTCATAAATCAAACTTTCACTTTTTAATACTTGGTTGCAAATCCTTTGCAGTCAATTACAGCCTGAAGTCTGGAACGCATAGACATCACCAGACACTGGGTTTCATCCCTGGTGATGCTCAGCCAGGCCTCTACTGCAACTGTCTTCAGTTTCTGCTTGTTCTTGGGGCATTTTCCCTTCAGTTTTGTCTTCATCAAGTGAAATGCATGCTCAATCGGATTCAGGTCAGGTGATTGACTTGGCCATTGCATAACATTCCACTTCTTTCCCTTAAAAAACTCTTTGGTTGCTTCTGCAGTATGATTCGGGTCATTGTCCATCTGCACTGTGAAGCGCCGTCCAATGAGTTCTGAAGCATTTGGCTGAATATGAGCAGATAATATGGCCCAAAACACTGCAGAATTCATCCTGCTGCTTTTGTCAGCAGTCACATCATCAATAAATACAAGAGAACCAGTTCCATTGGCAGCCATACATGCCCACGCCATGACACTACCACCACCATGCTTCACTGATGAGGTGGTAGGCTTTGGATCATGAGCAGTTCCTTTCCTTCTCCATACTTTTCTCTTCCCATCACTCTGCTACAAGTTGATCTTGGTCTCATCTGTCCACAGCATGTTGTTCCAGAACTGTGAAGGCTTTCTTAGATGTTGTTTGTCAAACTCTAATCTGGCCTTCCTGTTTTTGAGGCTCACCAATGGTTTACATCTTGTGGTGAACCCTCTGTATTCACTCTGGGGAAGTCTTCTCTTAATTGTTGACTTTGACACATATACACCTACCTCCTGGAAAGTGTTCTTGATCTGGCTAACTGTTGTGAAGGGTGTTATCGTCACCAGGGAAAGAATTCTTTGGTCATCCACCACAGTTGTTTTCTGTGGTCTTCCGGGTCTTTTGGTGTTGCTGAGCTCATCGGTGCATTCTTTCTTTTTCAGGATGTTCCAAACAGTTGATTTGGCCACACCTAATGTTTTTGCTATCTCTCTGATGGGTTTGTTTTGTTTTTTTCAGCCTAACGATGGCTTGCTTCACTAATAATGACAGCTCTTTGGATCTTATATTGAGAGTTGACAGCAACAGATTCCAAATGCAAATAGCACACTTGAAATGAACTCTGGACCTTTTATCTGCTCCTTGTAAATAGGATAATGAGGGAATAACACACACCTGGCCATGGAACAGCTGAGCAGCCAATTGTCCCATTACTTTTTGTCCCTTGAAAAGTGGGAGGCACATATACAAACTGTTGTAATTCCTACACTGTTCACCTGATTTGGATGTAAATACCCTCAAATTAAAGCTGATTTCCTTTCAAATCCATTGTGGTGGTGTATAGAGAAAAATAATTATTTTGATGTCCCAATATTTATGGACCTGACTGTATAACATGATAAATCGTATAAACATCATTAAGAATCATATTACCAATATTGAACTTTAAATATATTAATAAGAAATACTTAGAATCTTAAACAGAATACTAGATTTAAAAAAAATATATATATATTTCAATGATGGATCTAATGAGGAAAAAAAGAGATACAAATTTTAATCTATAATTTATATAAAATAATTAAACTCAAAGTTGGCTTTAAAACCATGAGGTAGTAAAGTGTTCATATAAAAAAAAAAAAATCTCATTTTTTTTTTTTTTTTAGCAAGGAGGCTCTAGGTACCTGGGCACGGTCTCCTCTCTTTCCTACTCTTTGGCAGGTATCACAGATTTGGCAATCCTGCCAGATGTCTTGTGAGATGCCTGGCCAGAATAAATTCTGAGTTATCCAGTACTTTGTTTGGCTAACGCCTAAGTGCCCAGATAGCGGGATATCGTGGGCTATTTGGAGCAGCTTCTGTCTATATGTTTGTGGTGGGACATATTGCCTACAAATTAGAACTCTGGAATAAGGCGCTAAAAAGTGAAAAGCTCAATCCTTCCCCAGTAACTAGACGACACACAGTTCTGGAAGTACAGCTGAAAATTTATTTGAGGACACGCTCTTTTATAGCCAGAACCCCAGCATGGGTTCTCCATACATTTACATTGTAAGCCTGCCCAGGCATCTCTGTGTCTGGGAGATATTGAGTCAAATACCGGTTACCTGTTAATTTTTGCTAATTTGTTACACTGGGTAGTTCAGTATATGGCATTCACCGAACACCTGAGACCCATATAGTTTGTTTACTGAACAAACTACCAAACAACCAGACCACCCAGGGGAGGCGTGTGCTGCTCATTGACCCTTTTCACTCTTGTTCAAAACTCAGTAACCGCAATTATCTCAACATTCTGAGCGGTCAGCTGGGTGGCCACCATTCGTATGGCCGAACATGTGGTGGCACCCATTTTTAGCTGCAAATGCATACAGCTGTGTTTGGTCGTTGAGTGCATGGAACTCAAATTGGGTACTCGACAGCGTGAACACCAATGGAACTTCAACATCCATTGAAGTTCGGTAAAATGTGTAGAAATTGAATGGCGTTCGGTGGGAGCAAGCTCCTGAACAAGGGATAGAGATGGAGCTTACCCACGAACCGTTAATGTTACGGTACCCTCAGCATCAAATGTACAAACCGCCGTTTAGTGAATACTTCCCTCTCGCAATAATATAGGCTGCATGCGTATCGAGTACAATCATGCGAACCGCCAGCAGAGGAACACTGTAAACCCACGAACGGGATCCGTACGGGCACTTCACTCCACGAGCTCCAAACTCACGAATTGCCAATAGTAGCCGAACGCATATATCTCCCAAGCGGCTAATAATTCCATCCAGCAGTCTCTAGTCGTCGGGAATAAATTCCCCCCCCCCAATAACGAGACCAAGCTCCGCATTGAGGGTAAAACAAGAACTGGCTTTACTGTGGGCTACCTGCCCGTATTTATGCAGGTCTCCCACTTGGTGGACACTCCCCTAGGGGACCAAATGGGAAACTGTAACAATAGACAGACATATGGCAGGTTAGGACCCACAGACACAGAATATTCCCAGCATGCATTAGTATTCCCTCCCCTCTGCCCTGGAGATAATTGAGAAGTAATTCAATTATCTCCAGGACAGAGGCAAATCGCCATTTTATATTCAACACAGAAAAACATATAAAAATATATAACTTTGCATTTGTCGAATGCTACCCATTTGTATCACATATCCCCAGATAGCCTGGATCTGAGTGCATATTATTGGTGAATAGCGCTCAGATCCCATACACATAGTTCAATCACCATGGAGTCAAAGTCTATTACAGTTTTTCGGTATGCAATTGACTCCATGGGAAGGCTATCTGGGGTAAGTTCATTCGTGTGTTTAAACCTCCCGAACGGCCGGTGTTCGCCTCCTTCTGTCGATTGAGAAAGGAGGTCGACGGCTTCAGCGGTGTTCTGCAGAAAAAGTGTCCGTTTTCAGTTCCATGAAATCAATACCGAGCACCGCTGGTCTTTCGCATGGTTTAAAATGGCCGCCGCCTCGTGGTCGACATACGAACAGCGACCACCCTGCATTCGATTTTAATTGAGAAGTGTCTGCGGTTAACCACAACGTTCTAATTGGGATCAAGAGGTTAACCAGCAGCACACTTCTCTTCTGGGTGGCTGTCCGTTCGGTAGTTTTGTTGGGCGGAAAAGTCAATTCACTGAACAGGGGCATACGAACGGGTAATTCCACGAATAAGGCAAAACAGATGAACCAGCAATCCCAGTCTATACAGATGGATCTGTCACAGTTACGTTCATTAATTTTTATTGTATTTGGTACTCCTGAAAGAGACCAACTGCAACTGTTTTCTGTGCCTGGAGATAATTGAGATTAGTACAGTGCTTGACTCAATTATCTCTTTGACACAGAGGAGGGATTATCTTTTTTTTATGTGGGAGTATCCTGGACCTGAGAGCCAATGTAAATACAGTATGTACTTTGTCATAGTCCAGTGGGGAATGTCCCTGGAATATGTTAAAGTAAACACCTTGCATGGGGACCTGCATATAAGGCCAGTTGTGGCTATCAATAAACCAGTTCCTGCCTACCCTCAACATAGAGTCTCATCTCATGTTTGTAGGGAACAGCTATACCAGCTATAATCCCTGCTCTTGGAGTTGTTCTTTGGATTGCTATAATCACTAGCTCTTGTAAGAGCTACACTGCTATATCGTGCTTGGATTATCGTGCTTTGGATTATGATAGCATCACTCTGAATAGGTGTAAAGAACATCTCTGGCGGTGAAAACCCTCTTCCTTTCGGGGTGGCCGCCACACCGTATGTAGTGTGTGTAAAGTGAATGCAGAGTGTGTGTGTGTATAGTAAATGCAGAGTGTCTGTTTGTGTATAGTGAATTCAGATTGTGTATTTGTGTATGGGTGTAGTGTGTGTTTGTGTAGGCATGTAGTGTGCATAGTGACTGCAGAGTGTGGTGTGTTTGTGTAGTGAATGCAGAATGTGTGTTTGTGTGTAGTGAATTCAGAGTGTGTTTGTGTAGGCATGTAGTTTATATATAGTGAATGCCGTATGTGTTTGTGTAGGCATGTAGTTTATGTATAGTGAATGCAGTGTGGGTTTGTGTAGGCATGTAGTTTATGTATAGTGAATGCAGTGTGGGTTTGTGTAGGCATGTAGTGTGTATATAATGAATGCAGATTGTGTGTTTGTGTAGTGGATGTGATATGTGTATAGTGAATGCAAATTGTGTATAGTGAGTGCAGTGGATGTAGTGTTTGTGTGTTTTAAATGCAGTGTCTGTGTAGGCATGTAGTGTGTATGTAATGAATTGCAGAGTGTGGTTTGTGCAGTGGATGCAGTGTTTGTGTGCATTAGATGCAGTGTCTATAGTTAATGCAGAGTGTGTGTTTGTGTAGTGGAAATAGTGTGTATAGTGAATGCAGTTTGTGTAGAGATGTAGTGTGTGTATAGTGAATGCGGTGTGTGTTTGTGTAGGCATGTAGTTTGTGTATAGTGAATTCAGTGTGTGTGTGTAGGCATGTAGTGTGTTTGTAGCGGATGCCTGGTATTCCACAGGTTAACTCCACTAAAGATCCCAGTGAGGCTCAGGAACAAGTAATAAAAACACCATAGAGCAATAATCCCAGCAAGCAAGGTAATCCACAAATATTCCCATACAGATCCCACTGACTGGACGACACACAGCATCAGGAGCAGAACTGACTTTTAATCCACACAACCTCCTTATAAAGCATTCTCCCATGCAAGGGAGGGATTCACATTAATCAGTACAGTATCCAATAGTGTAACAGTTACCTCCCACACATCTCCTCCCCTCAGTGTGACACATAATCCCATTAATCTTACTGTAGTTTTCCCCGAATTCTGGATGTACCCCAAAGCAAGCAGCTAGAATTATACTTGGGGTACCCCCTGGTAACCCTGATCTGGGTGACTAACATATCCAAAATTCACCCAGATCAGACCAGGGGTTCGGGAGTTAGGTGGAGGGTGTAATTTGACTGACCGCACATGAGGTGGTATCCGAAAAAGGCTCCATGTGTTTTGGCCTTGCGGTCGGTCTCTGTTCGGGAGTTAAACACATAGAAATACCTGCCATCCACAACTAATCTTATATTTGCATCAATCCCCTTGTTCGGGACATTGATCTTACTGAACAGAGGGCTGACTAGTCCCTCCGTTCGTGAGTTATGGAACTCTAGAGGTCTCAGCGGTGTTCGGTTGTTTGAGTATCCGATTTGAGTTTCGGACACTCAACGACCAAACACCACTGAGATTTTCATGCATAAGATGGCCGCCGCACGTGGTTCGTATGCCGAATGGCGACCACACCGGTACATGTAATGAGTCAATTAAGCTGCGGTTTGCCGAGTGTGAATGCTTAACGAAGCGCACACTTCTTACAGGGGTGGTCTGAGGGTTCGGTAGTTTCATTTGTATGAAACTACCGAACAATCATATTAAACCTACATATACTTTACAGACATACAGGAAAAAATTAACCGAATACATTTTCAATACGAATTCCTAAAGACAGCCTTAACACAATACGTTACAGTGTTTATAATGAATGCAGAGTATGTTTGTTCAGTGGATGCAGTGTGTGTGTGTATTTGTGTATTGGAGGTAGTGTGTGTATAGTGAATGCAGTGTGTGTCTTTGTGCAGTGGAGGTAGTGTGTATAGTAATTACAGTATGTGTTTACGTAGTGGATGTTGTGTGTATAGTGACTGCATAGTGTGTTTGTGTATATAATGAATGCATAGTATGTGTTCGTGTAGGCATGTAGTATGTATAGTGACTGCAGAGTGTGTGTTTGTGCAGTGGATGCAGTGCGTGTGTCTTTGTGTAGTGGAGGTAGTGTGTATAGTGAATGCAGAGTGTGTGTTTATGTAGTTTTTTTTATGTTTTCTTTAACCCCTTAAGGACCACGGACGTGTAAAGTACGTCCAACAAAAAACAGTCCTTAAAGACCGCGGATGTACCTCATACGTCCGCGGCTAATTTGAGCACTGGAGCGATCACTTCCAGGTTGCCGCACGTGGCGCCCGGCAGTGTAGTGCAGAGCATTGGAAGTCTTCAGGCAGACTTCTGATGCTTTGCCTGTACTGAGTGCCTTGAGGGGTCGATAATTAATTAAATTTTAAAAAATTAACCCCTACCCTCCTGTAATGGATTACCTGGCACCCTGACTGGGTATCTCTGTTAAAGCATGCTCCTAGCGCTTCCTGAGGGATTCCATCACTACAGCAGACACCATAACCACCGTAGACTCCTTCAGAGAGCAAAAACAGGAGCAAGCTCTTACAAGAGCTTAGCAGTGAATATAGCAAGAGAGTATGACAAGCATAGCAATCCCTTGTAGCAGGTTCCCCCAATAAGAGACGGCAGGGTGAAGTAGAACTGAAGCTTTTAATCAAACACTTTGCTTTTATGCCCATTCTACAACCATAGTAATGTCCAGAGGGTTTTGAAGTACAACCAATCACAACGTACAATACACTCAGACACTTCCACACAAAATCCTCCCCTCTGCCTGTGATATAATTACTGAACACAATGGGTTAATATAATTATCACAGGCTGAGAAATACAGTTTTTACACATGTACTATAACTTTAAAAATATACATTCAATCGTCATAAAAAATTACATATTATTCAGCACACTTTAATTATTAACATAGTCACAATTCAGCCAATTCCATCCAGGGGTTAAAAAGTTAGCTGGAAGTCATTTTATGACCGACCGCAGGCACATTTTCATGCCCAAAACAGTCCCAGAGAATCAGGCAGTGCGGCTGGTCTATTTCCCATGTTAAAGTCAGTTCAAACAGACGAACGACGAATTGTTGAATGAACTGTCGAATGAACTGTCGAATGAACTGTCTAATGCATTAGTTCCAGGGAAGGTAAAACTTCAGCGGTGTTCGTGCTGTTCTGTAGCCAATTTTAGTTCCATGAGTTTGACGGCACACACCGCTGACTGCATTCGAATTAATCAATATGGCCACCGCCACATGTTCGGTTTTCTAATGGCGGCCACTTCCAATACTTCGGCACTTTGGCTGCATCCGAAGTGCCATGCCAAAACTGCAGGTCCTTTCCCAAAGTACTTAAAGGGCCAGAAACAGCACAATAAAATACAATATGCCCAAATAATGTCTTTAAAGGGCAATACATTCCAGGGGCCATAGTCACATGGCAGGAGGCTGGCAATCAGTCTTCTCCAATGCCCAGTGGCGAGACTGGTTCCGCCACACCTCCCTCCCCATGTACTTACTGATCGCCACCGTTTCCCCACCAGCGACCGATCTACTTCTGAGGGATTAAGCCCAGACAGTCCCCCCTTTGCAATTTAGGACCCAGAGGGGTCATGTGACTGCTCTAAAAGAGTGGTCTAATGAGTGGTTCCTGAAAAAGGCTGCGAACCCTGTGTGTGCTGCTGCGTCTTTGTGAATTGAAAGTGGGGGAATGACCAAAGAGATCCCAATCCATGCAGCTGAAAAACTACTCCAATTGTGTAAAACTGCCCTGGCTGGATCGCCCGAATGGTTGGGCAGGGGTTGGTACCTCGTGGAGCAAATTTAAGTAGCCCAGGGACAAGAGACCAACCCTGCAGAATGATACTCACAACAAAGTTGAGGGGCCTAAACCAGAACCGAAGCCCCCTCCAATTGTGCGCAACACTCCCCAGGAGCAGGACAAATCCATTCAAAATGCGGAACAGAACGTCTGGGAGGCTGGCTTGGAAAGTAGTCCAATACTATGCCTCAGAAAGCAAGCCTGGAAGAGGGACCGCCTGGAAGAGGGACCGACTGAAAAAGGGGGGGGTAGGAGGGGAGGCTGTGGTGGTGTAAATACTGTTAGGTGTTTGTGAACCCGTGAAATCAACAAAAAGTCATCCAGAACGTGGATGACTGATGGACACCTGAATATATTTAGGAGCGGCCAGCAGAGGGTTTCTGCAGAGAGCGGTGCGAAGAGGTCTATGATCAAACGTATTTGGGTACTGTGAATGGCTACCCCGATGGGAGTGATACACCAAGATGAGAAAAAACTTGAAGACCGGAAAGGGACGTTCGTTAAACCGGTATATAATTGCTGTGGACAGAAGGTGGTCCACCGTAAGTGGGTCAATAGATGTAGATAATAGGTTAGGGCATATGAGTGAACCCGTGGGGTTGGTGCCAAGGCCCGTGTGAGACCTCTGTGAGAAACCCAGCATCAGAATCTACCATATGCCCAGCTGGGTGTAAATGCAGATAGTATACCAGGATGTCAATGTTGACCTAGTTAGGCGTGTCTAGGGTGACAGACGGGCTGTATATGTGGACTAGGTGTGAGTTCTGGAGCAGATTAAGTGGATTTGTGATACCCTGTGTGTAGTGAAAATGGCATACCCCAGCATTAAAGTCATAGCTCACCCACGCTTTGCCTGGAAATTAATGGTCAGCCCCGCTTGTCCTTCTGCCCGCCTCCCAGTATAGTGCGTGTGATGAAGGAGTGATAAGAGGGACTAAACAGTTAAATTTGTGACAGACCCAAGAAGCCTGGATATGTTAAAAGCATAGTGATAGGTACCGAGTTTTCGGGTGTGTGCCAAAACAGGGAAAAGACATGCGTGGGCCTAACGAGGTCATGCGTAATATAAGGAATGTAGTATGAAAGGTTGTATTTCTTTATCCCTCTTATATTAGAAATAAGACGTATGTAATTGCCCAAAAGTGGGGCCGAAATTGACGTAAGTAACTGCCCAAATGAGGGGCCGGAATTGCCATAGTGCCCATAGTGGGCCATGTGTAAACGTATGGATTCAAGGCTTGGCGAGGGCCGTGTGTAGAGGTATTGCAGTGGAAGGCAGAGTGCTTAATGTTAGTCCTGAGCTGCTGGGTGGCGAAATAGGGCTGTATGAGGGGTATGGATGTATAGAACGAACAAAGAAGGGAACAAACAAAGAAAGGGTGAGAGATTCCTTCGGAGACCCAGGCCTGACTGGTGTGCTGGGTATTTCGTCCAACAGTAGACCAATTATTGGGATGGATTCTTGTGACATTCTGAAAAGAAATAATGAGTTGGATAAGTAAGGTGTCGTAGAGGTGGGGATGAGACCTCTGGAGAACTGGCCTGCTAGCTAGTGCCGAGACAAAGAATTAACCTAGGACCAAGTGACAGGTGAGGCCCTGCTATTGCCAAGTGGTGGTGAGAGGCTCTACCTATGATTTGGGCTGAGGGGATTTTGTTTCTGACTTTAGGGAAAG